TCCTATCAGGTAAGTATTGTTACTATGTCCATTTGTGGGTGAGGAAACAGGTGCTTTGAATAGGAAGAGCACCAGCTTGAGAGTCCAGAAGCCAGAATGTTGGTTTTAATGCCACCATTGACCTGCTGTAAGCCTATAAGCCAGAGGGTAAAAAATCACCCACCTTGCAGTATACTAATCACATCAATGAGAGAACAGATGGGTGCCTGCCTTATCACTGCATGAAAGGGACTCTCTTTGTCATTATTTTATTTACTTCCCAGTGAGTGCAGGTCATCCACTGAGACTGCCTGATAGAATCCCTTCATTCTGGAGAGGAGTCAACTGGCTCTGCTGCTGCTGCTGCTAAGTTGCTTCAGTAGTGTCTGATTCTGTGCGACCCCATAGATGGCAGCCCACCAGGCTCTGCCGTCCCTGGGATTCTCCAGGCAAGAACACTGGAGTGGGTTGCCACTTCCTTATCCAATGAAGGAAAGTGAAAAGTGAAGTCGCTCAGTCACTCAGTCATGTCCGACTCTTCGCGACCCCATGGACTGCAGCCTACCAGGTTCCTCTGTCCATGGGATTTTCCAAGCAAGAGTACTGGAGTGGGGTGCCATTGCATGTGTTCTAAGCTTCTGCCCACCCCCACCCCACCTCCCCACCCCCCCCCACCCCCGCAATGTGCCCTGTCTCCATCTTAGGGAGGAAATAAATGTAACAATGAAAGCAAGAGTGAAGACGGTGCTTGCAAAAGAAATGCTATGTGTCAGTTATTGGTTGATGATGGCTCCATTTGTTTTAGGAAACAGACCACTGGTGCTGAATTTTGGAAGTTGCACCTGACCTTCATTTATTTTCAAATTTGACCAATTCAAGAGACTTATTGAAGATTTTGGTTCCATAGCAGACTTTCTCATCATTTACATCGAAGAAGCACATGCATCAGGTAAAAAAAAGATGTTCCTCTCTCTCCCCTTCTCTCATGGTTGGGGGTGGGAAGAAGAGGAAGAGAGAAGGAAAGAGTCACTATTTGTTGAGGACCTAACTCAGTCGCTGCTAGGTCTACCCCCTACTCGCTAACTCCACAGTCTGTGCTCTCCACTAGTCACACAGAGCAGAAAACTGGAGTGCTTCTAACATTCTGAGTGGGTAAGTAGGGGAATCAAGGGGAGGAGCTCATCTGAACACAATCACAAGGAATTTAGACCTTGTGAAACGTCACAAGTGAAACGGCGGCTCTCTAGCAACGTGTGAGATCCATCCTAAGGCTCTCCAAGCTCCAGGGGACTTGGTGGTTCATCTCCGTCCATGGTTCCCAAGCATCGCGAGCACCAGAAGGACCAGGGTTTGTGAAAGCAGACTGCTGGACCCCACCCCAGAGTTGGAGTTAAACCTGGGGTGGGACCTAATAATTTACATATCTAACCATCTCTGAGTGATGCTGAAGCTGTGGATTGGGGGACCACACTTTGAGAACCCCTGCTCTGGGCCAGCTTTTAGCTGAAGCTGCCATCCTTGTTTCAGCTCCTAATAAGTGATGGCTCATCTTCATTATTTAATGGGAAATCTTGTTCCTTTGCTGAACAGCTCTGTGAGAAAGTCCTGCCTTACCACGGGCAGACATGTCCCTCTCTGAAACTTCTACAGCTTGGCCGAAGCCTCTTGAACTTTACAGGACAATCAGACACATCCCTGTCTTCCTGATTTTTATGGGAACTGAATCCAAGAGTTTAGCTCAAGCCTCCAACTCAGAGGTTGGAGAAGGCAAGAAGGCTCATGTGGCTGAGTGAAACGAAAATTATTTACTTACCCCATCACCCCACAAGACAAGAGGCTGTTTCAGTCATCTGTCACCCAGCAGCTGGCAGAGTCCATGTTATAGAGTCATAGCTCAGTGAAAGTTGGGTGAATAAGTGAGTGTTTAGACCAGTATTAGCCTTGCTGGCTGATCCATGTGTTTAGAGATTGTTATTAATTATCAGCAAAGCTGCTCCATCAGCCCTTTCCCCAGAGTGGTCCCTAGATCCCTCGTGTCTGAGCCATGTGGACCATATTCCAGGGCCCACGCTAGGCCCATTGCATCTTAATTTATATGCACCCAGAGGCTGGAGAACTGCTTTCAGCCTATCACTGTGCTTATGTAACTGGCAGCTTCTATCTTCATTGAAGACTTTGGAGCAATTAAAAATATTAGCGTAGGGTAACAGTTACATGGAGGTTCATTAAACTGTTCTCTCTACTTTTATGTATATTTGAACATTTCCAAAATGAAATTCAAAACAAACAGCATAGGCAACAGTAGAGCAAAGTCAAGAACAATGTGTTTCTTTGTTAAATACCCTTTGGGAGAGCAGCAGCCATCAATGAAAGAAAAGAGAACTCAGGCACCTACAGGTGTCCGTGGTCTCCATGGCACTCGAGTCACCTGGTAATCTTATTAAGGTGCAGGTTCACAGGGCAGCAGAGTGGGGCGGCCTGAGACGTGGCACTTTAAATCATGCCCCCAGGTAGTGCTGAGCCTGCTGGCCCAGGGACCATGCTTGGAGTAATAAGGTTGTAGAGAATCCAGCTTTAATCTCTAAAAGAACAATTGCAAAGTGCAACAAGAGCAGAGGGATCATCACAGAAATTTCCTGATACCTGTCTCCTCACCTGCTTTCTCCTGGAATCCGACTGAGCAGGTTGAACCCTTTCCTGGACCCAGGGTTGTCCATCTCAAGCCACTGAGGGAAAGCCTTCCTATTCCAGCCCTGACCCACACTGGTTTCTGTGCTGTGTACCCTCTGTGCTGTGCCACTCCTAGTTCAAGCATTTCTTCTTCCTCCCCAACTCCTTCCCCAGGGTACTCACTCCATCAATCAGAAATAGGTCAGGCCTGAATCCCAGAACTAAAATGCACAGAGCCAGTGTCCACCAATACTAGGAGGTCTGAGCCAATCAGTTGACTTCCTTTTCCCCCACATACCACGTGTCTGTCTAGGTAAATTACAGGGAGGCATGAGGTGTAGTAGAAAGATCGCCCTAGCTGAATCATGTGCTGGCCACATGACCTGGACAGCTTACCTCCATGCCCACTTCTGTGCCACTAAAACAGAATAATGGCACCTATCTCCCAGAACAAGTCTTCCCATGTGGCACTAGTGGTTAAGAACCCGCCTGCCAATGCAGGAGACATAAGAGACACGGGTTCAATCCCTGGGTTGGAGGAAGGCATGGCAGCCTACTCCAGTATTCTTCCCTGGAGAATCCCATGGACAGAGGAGCCTGGCGGCCTAAGGTCCACAGATTCTCAAAGAGGCAGACATGATTGAGCACGCACACACATGTCTCCCAGAATAACCCACTTAACAGAATTTACTGAGTACCTACTATGTGTGCAGCCCTGTGCTGGGCCAAGGGATACATAGAGATAAAAGGTACATGCAGTGCCTGTCTCTAAAGAACTCACAGTTAAGGGTGGGGAGGTGGGTCACTGCTGCTCTCTGGGCCTCCACATTCCCAGCTGCAGGGTGGGGATGAGAAGGACATTCTGTGAAGCTCCAGGGAGCTAATGGGTGGAAAAGACTGCCCGCCTAGACATGACACACGTATAAGTCGGTGTTACTGTCATCAACAAAGTTTAGCTGTCTTGGGGCAGTTAATAAATACTTTAAACTGAGTCCAGGCTGTTGTAACTAGATGTGAATTTCTTCTGAGCCTGGGTTTTCCTAGGGGAAGAGTACTTTGAGAGGACTTTGAAGCACAAGAAGGAGCAGCCAGTTCTGCTGGTCGACTTCATTGTCTGTGTGTGTGTAACTTACAATGTGTAACTTACATTACCCTGGGAGGCAACTATTATAAATGCAGGCCCCATGGCTTCTGAAAGAACCCATACCACATTATCTAGGTTCCAATCTCCCCAGATGTGGGGAAAGTAGAAGGGCAAGGCCAGTTCCAGTTTATGGATATTTTTTCAACCTGTGGGCCCATTCACTAATGAGTACCAACTCCTTTAAGTTGGCAGATGGGCATCTCGGCCAATGAAGCCAATTGAATATCCACTCCCCCCCAAAAAAAAAGAAAATCCACTTGGCATTAAAGCAGGGGTCCCCAAATTCTAGGATCTAATGCCTGATGATCTGAGGTGCAGCTGATGTAATAATAATAGAAATGAAGTGCACAATTAATGTTATGCACTTGAATCATCCCAAAATCATCCCCCCACCCACCACCCAGTCCATGGAAATACTGTCTTCCAAAACCCGGTCCCTAATGCCAAAAATGTTGGGGACCACTGATTTAAAGTGAAGCGATCGGCTTTTAAAAATAAAAAAAATTAAAAAAAACAATGATTAGTCGCTGGCTTTTAAAAATAAAAAAAAATAATAATAAAGTAAAGCAATCTTAAATAGATTTGGTTCGGGGTGGGGGTGGGGCATCTCCAGAGGAAAATAGTAGAATACCTGTAGTTGAGAATGAAAACTGAAAAAAAAAAAAAAGGATGAATAGCTTCTTCTCTACTTGTCTGCTATTTTGGGGCAGTCAGGCAAGGTAAGTCAATAGTTTTTAAGCAGCTACAATGAACCAGGTAGAATACTGGGAATTCTACACAATTATCTCAGATAAGCCTTACAGCCAACTGAAATGTGGGTTCTATTAATCCATTTATCAGATGGGAAAACTGAGAATTTAAAAAGATTTAAAGAGCCTCCCAATATCACACAGCTGAGTGTATCAAGGAAGGCTTCCTGGAGGAGATGGTGTGACAGCAGTGTTTCTCAACCAAGGGTAATTTTTGTCCCGCAGAGGGCATTTGGCAATGTCTGAGACATTTTCAGTTGTCACAAGCTGAAGGCAAGGTGACACTACTGACATCTAGTATGTAGGGCCGAAGATGCTGCTTCACACCTTACGATACACAAAACAGCAGAGGATTATCTAGCCCAATTGTCAGTAGTGCCGAAGTTGAGAAGTCCTCCATCTGGGACCCTCAGTTAAAAGTGGGGGAGGTATCTGACCTGCAGGTCTGTCTGTTACAGATGGCTGGGCTTTTAAGAACAACGTGGACATCAAGAGTCACCGGAATCTCCAGGACCGCCTGCGGGCAGCCCGCCTGCTGCTGGACAGGAGCCCCCAGTGCCCCGTGGTGGTGGACACAATGAAGGACCAGAGCAGTTCATGCTACGCGGCTCTGCCAGAGCGGCTCTATGTGCTCCAGGAGGGCAGGATCCTGTACAAGGTGGGGACTTGCAGCAGGGGACCCAGGGAGGGCAGGGTAAGGTCAGAGAGAGGACTGTGTGTCAAATCGCTGCCTGGTCACTTACCAGCCTCGTGACCACAGGCAAGTCCTTTCCCCTCTTGGAGCTTCAGTTTCTTCTTCTCTAAAACGGAGACACGGACCCCCACCTCACAGGGGATGAAGTCATGCACAAGAAAGGCCCTAGCATTTGGACTGGAGTTGCAACTTCCCGGGTGCCTTCTGAATCCAGAAGACTAGCCCAGCCCTGGTTTGCTTTGAGAGACAATCTTTCCATTTCCTGAACAGTGCTCAGAGGAGGAAATGGACTTGCCTAAGGCCAAGTTGCACAAGGCTCCTATTTCAATTCTAAATCCTCTGGGATGGGATGGGAGTGAGAGGGTCTGAAGCTGCCAATCCCTGAGACAGGCCTGAACCTGGAAATGGGTGTAGACGCTAGAAGACCATCTCCTCTGTAGTTTGGAGTGGGAAATGCTGAGGCAGGAACTGAGCCCAATCTGCTTTTCGGGTGATCATGTACCCCTTCAGTGCTTCCAGCTTGGTGAGGGTGAGGAAGGGAGCACAACTTCTGATCCTGGGGGCACTGTGAGCCTCCCCTGTTGTGTGTTATGCGGTGCTCACTCAGTCTTGTCTGACTCTCTGCAGCCCCATGGACTGTAGCCCACCAGGCTCCATGGGATTTTCCAAGCAAGAATACTGGAGTGGGTTGCCATTTTCTTCTCCAGCGGATCTTCCCAACCTAGGGATCGAAACTGTGTCTCTTGTGGTTTCTGCGTTGGCAGGCAGATTCTTTACCACTAGTGCCACCTGGGAATCACTAGCGTCCCCTGAGAGGATAGAAATTAGGTTTTACATCTGCTGAAGGGATTCAAACCTGGGGGAGCATATGAAGCCCAGCTCTGGGGTGCCTCTCTGCCTGTGGGTCAGGCGGGCCTTACTCATGCCGGTGAAACAAGCAGCAACCTGCACATAAATTCTCAGAATGCTAAGGGTCACTGCACAAGGATTTGAGTCCTTCCTTCCCAGTCCCCTGTGACCCAGTACTGAGGTGGCCTGGTTCAGGCAAGCTGGGTACCGAGTCCTGACCTGGGGTTAGGCCCTGTGCAAGTAACTGGAAACAGAAGCGCAAGCTTTAAAGGAGCCACAACTTACTTCAAAGTACTCACAATTGGAGGACCAGGGAATAAGGAAGGCATAAATAGAGTGTTACAGCTTCCTGGGTGCTGTGAGGCTCCAGGGCAGGGATCAGCAAAGCTGTTTCGCAAAGGGCCAGATAGTAAATATGACTCCGTGGGCCAAATAATCCCCGCTGAAATGCTTCAGTTTTGCTATTATAGCACAAAACCGGCATAGACAATATGTAACGGAAAGGGTGTGAGACATCAGGATAGATTTGGCACTCATGATAAATTTCCTGAACCCTGAGGAAGGGCAGGCTTTTCAGAGGCGGTGACACCTGCTTAGGCCATAAAGGATAAGGAGGCTGCCACATGAACATGGTGAGTAAAAACCATTGCAAATACAGGAAGGAGAGATAGAAGCACTGAGGTAGGTTAGGGCAGGGTGTGGAGGGTTGGGCCATTTCCATTATAAAAGGCTCATTCTGGACCAAGGAGTTCAGCCTACATCTGAGAGCAAAGAGCCACTGAAGAGCTGTGAGCCAGGGAGAAGCACAAATCAAATCTATACTTTAGAAAGATCATGGACTACTAGGTGAAGAATGGACTGGAGGGAACAAATACAACAAATATAAAGCAAATATACTCCAATTAAAAAAAAAAAAAAGAATGGACTGAAGGAGCTGGGGTGGTCGTTGCCCAAACAGGAGATGAAGAGGACTGAACTGAGGCTGTGGGATTAGACAGGCAGAGGTGGTTTGATGCAGAGTGAGCAGAACTTGATGTGAGAGGTGGCTGGTCTGAGGGTCCAGTTGTGAAAGAGAAGCTTGTTTGTCTAGACCCCTTTCTCCTTTTGAAACTATTCTCTTTACCTGCTCTGGTCTTCCTCTTGCTTCTTTGTCCAGTCTTCCCATTGCATGTTGGTGCCATTCCACATGCTTTCCCTGGGTGCTCACATCTATCTCATGGTCATCTGTGCTTGACTGCACCATCCTGATGACTTCCACACAGATGTCACCAGCTCAAATCTCTCAGCTCAGCTCAGCTCCATATTCCTGCAAGTTGGAAATCTGGAAATGCTGACTCATTTCTCTTGCAGGGTAAACCTGGTCCTTGGAACTACAATCCAGAGGAAGTTCGTGCTGTTCTGGAAAAGCTCCACAGTTAATATGGACGGATTGCCCAGTTCTAGGTGCCCAACATGAGGGCCCCTTAAGGCTTGGTTTGACCCCCATCCCAGCTGACATTTGCCTCTTGACCTGTGTTCCCAGTTGAATCACTAGCCTGGATTTTTCTGATCCAAGCAAACACTGGTTGCAATGAGAAAATGAAGCCAGAAGTAAGCTGAGTATTAAAGAAGGTATAATTCCATACTGCTGCCACCATGGAGACCATGTTCATTGCACAGCATTCTAAGAATGAGAGCAGGTACACTCTGCATTTCCTTCTGAGTATCCAGCCACTCTAATATGGCATTCCTTAAATGAAGTAAACTCATTGTACCAGATTTGCCATTTAAAGAATTGATCATTTAAGACACTAAATTGGCTTTTAGAACTAAGCATGGGGAGAACACCAGGTTTTCAAAGGAATTCAAAGAGAATGGGAGCAGACAGTACAGATGGTAAACCTTTTCTTGCCAAAACATTTAAAACGAATGATGGTGGCAGTGATGGGTGAGTTTCCACAGTAGTATATTTTCAGTTCTACAGTAGAAGAGGAGGGTGCTCACTTTACCATCTTTGAATATATTTCATAGGCGTCTTGCTCTCCGTACCTGGGACTCTTCTTTTATTTTCAATTATAACAAGTCACTTGGTAGGAGGACTGGCTTCCTAAAACGACTATAACCTTGACCAAACGAGACAACAGATACTACAGAGCTGTCATTCAGCTGTGCAGAAACTCATATCTGAAATCCCGTTTCTCTGATTTCTTCACAAGTCTCCTAAAAGGTCATTTGCGTTAGATTACCTCAGACTAATGAATAACCATTGGTATTGAGCTGTTTTAACTCTGCGTCTTTTCATATTTGTTCATGACGGCCACAGCCTAAAGTACACACGGCTGTGACTTGATTCGAAAGAAAATGTTTTAAGATGCAGCAAGCTAACATAGAATGATTAAAAACTATCAGGCTATTCTGGATGGCTTCAGTGTGATCTTTACATTGCCTTTTCTAATGCGTGTCAGCTTGTTCTGTTTTTTATTATAGACCAATGTAATCTGATGAGCAAAAAATACCATAGGCCCTCCTTTGGTGGGAAGAACACTCAGTCTGTATGTGTTACCTGTCTAACCTGGTTCTGTCTCATAAACTCCTTGCCAGAGAATGTCCACATTGATATCAAATTACCTTCACAACATGACATGATAGAAAAGACTTGGGAGGCATTTTTCTAACATGAAAACACAGTTTTCTTGTCTCTGTCTTACCTGCCAAAGAACTTTTAAAAATAGTTGTTAATCATTTATCAGGCACAGACACTTTCAGACATGCAGTATTATTTAATCTCTATACAGCTCAAAGAGGAGATTATTAGACCCATTTTACAGATGAGGAAACCAAGGCTCAGAATTAAGTAATTTATGGAAGGCCTCAGACCCAGTAAGCAACAAGCTGAGATTCAAACCGCATCTCTAACTTCAAACCAGAATCCCAGCTCTGCTCCCTGCTGGCTGTGTGATTTTGGTTAAAGCTGCTTTGGTATCTTGAACTACAAAATAGGGTATCAACAGTGATTACCCTACAGAGGACTCATAAGTAAAGCACTCAGAACTGTGCCTGGCTTGGAGAAAATGCCATCGAAATGTTGGCTACTACTGTTACCATCATTACTGCCCCACAACTGCCTCCTTGGGCTCCCTTTTTAGGTGCTGGGAGATGGAAAAAAACACAGGATCGTAGAGACACTGAATGAAACTCTTCATCCTGCCAAAGCAACTGACCGATACTGTTGTGAGTTTGTAAGAGGATACCGAGGACGAGTAGCTGTGAGACAGTGGGTATAAAGCACAGCTGAGCACAGTCCTTTGTAAGCAGTGTTGCTTAGCCTCTCAGTGGTATTTGATTCTATATGACCCCAAGGGCTATAGCCCGCCAGCCTCCTCTGTCCATGGGAATTTTTCCTGGCAAGAACATTGGACTGTGTTGCCGTTCCTCCTCCAGGGGATCTTCCTGACCCAGGGATCAAACCCAAGGCTCCTGCATTACAGGCAGATTCGTTACCACTGAACCATCAGGGAAGCCCTTCCTAAGCACTAAATTCCACAAAAAGAGGCAGAGTATAAAGCTGTGCTCCTCTGAATAACTTCTCAGGTGATCCTTCAACTCACACCTATAAATGCCTAGAAATCTCCCCGTTTTAAACAAATAATAGTAGCTGGAATGGAGGAGTTTTCAGAAAGCTAAAAGAGATCCAAACAATCCAATTAAATTTTCCTCGATGTAATGCTTCAGACATTAATTGAGCCCTGATTTCGTCTCTGGGTGCTGAGAGATGATGCAAAGATGACTAAGTCCAACTTTGGTCCTCCAGCAGCTTAACCTCCTGGGGCAGGGGGGACAGGGGTGGACATATACTGCAATAACCATAATTCAAGGTCAAATATGATGGGTTAGAGTTGTAGTGTGTTGTGCTTAGTCGCTTAATCGTGTCTGACTCTTTCAACCCCATGGACTGTAGCCCACCAGGCTCCTCTGTCCATGGGGATTCTCCAGGCAAGAATATTGGAGTGGGTTTCCATGCTCTCCTCCTGGGGATTTCCCAACCCAGGGATCAAACCCAGGCCTCCCGAATTGCAGGCAGATTCTTTACCATCTGAGCTGCCAGGGAAACCCAAGAATACCGGAGTGGGTTGCCTATCCCTTCTCTAGCAGATCTTCCCGATCCAGGAATTGAACCGGGATCTCCTGATTGCAGGCAGATTCTTTACCAGCTACCAGGAAAGCCCAGGTTAGAGCTGAGGGGGAGGCTGAAGCTCAGAGAGCACAGAGGGGAAAGCAGTCTGTCTGAGCTGCTGCCTCTAGGAAAGCTTTGTGCAAGTGGTGACCTTTGAGCTTGGTCTCCAAAGATGCCCAGGAAGTCTATAATTTGGGCTGCAAGCCCAAAGAACATGAGAAGGGAGAATAGCATTAAAGTGGACAAAACAATGTGCGCAAAGGTGGGGTAAAAACCTGCCCAGGAGACTGCAAAAGGTTTGAGTTCAGTTTTAATTTATGATCAAGAAAGGTCTTTTCTCTTAGAAGGTGACCTCTCTGGGTCTGGATACCAAGAATGAACTGACTATGCTTGACTAGCATTGGAAAATACGAGTGAAGTAAAAGAAGCTTGTTAATATATCTTGTTTCACTCCAAGTATAGGTTGCATTCAGAATATCAACTGATTTGAAGAAAAATTTTCAAAACCACCTATTTGTCTGCTTTCAAGGGAAAGATTTACCTGTAGTTCACCTGTTCTCTAAGTCCCCTAGTGGTTCCCAGCCTTTTTGGTACTAGAGACCAGTTTTGTGGAAGACAGTTTTTCCACAGCCTGGGATTTGGGGGGGGGATGGTTTTAGGATGATTCAAGAACATTACATTTATTGTGCACTTTGTTTCTATTATTAGTATTACATCAGCTTTACCTCAGATCATCAGACATTAGATCCCAGAGTCTGGGGACCCCTGCTCTAAGGGTGATGCCTTCTGTGGTAACTGGCTTTATGTAGGACTCTGAGCCTACTGCACATTCTAGCTTGCGTTCTAGCTGCTGCAAGACTGGTCTTATGAGCCTGGCAGGAGGCCCAGGAAATCCAGGCTCCATCTCAGAATTTGGCAGATGCCGTCAGAGAGGCCCAGTGACTTTAATATTTATTCACCTGCCCAGAGTCAAGCTCTCAATTGCTCCTGGCCCCAGACAACTTTGTTTCTGGTAAACTCAGCCATTAGTTTCCAAAGGTGTATTGAAATACTTTACCCAGCATGTTCGATTGAGGAAGGAATCCAGGATACCCAATTGGCCATATAGATTGCATCACTCCAAGTCTCAAGGATGCAGTTTTCTGAAGAAGGGCATGTGAATAGTGTATTCCCTGAAGTCCTACATGCCTCTAATGACCCACGGCTGTCTTTTAAACCTGGAGGATACCTGGCTGGGCTTCAGAATCTTATGTTTTAGTTCTTTTACCTCAGAAATTTGTGGACATTGTTTTACGGTCATCTAGCAAGCCTCTTGATGAAAGTGAAAGAGGAGAGTGAAAAAGCTGGCTTAAAGCTGAACATTCAGAAAACTAACATCATGGCATCTGGTCCCATCACTTCATGGCAAACAGATAGGGAAACAGTGGCTGACTTTATTTTGGGGGTCTCCAAAATCACTGCAGATGGTGATTGTAGCCATGAAATTAAAAGACGCTTACTCCTTGGAAGGAAAGTTATGACCAACCTAGACAGCATATTAAAAAACAGAGACACTACTTTGCCAACAAAGGTCCATCTAGTCAAGGCTATGGTTTTTCCAGTGGTCATGTATGGATGTGAGAGTTGGACTGTGAAGAAAGCTGAGCACCAAAGAATTGATGCTTTTGAACTGTGGTGTTGGAGAAGACACTTGAGAGTCCCTTGGACTGCAAGGAGATCCAACCAGTCCATCCTAAAGGAGATCAGTCCTGAGTGTTCATTGGAAGGACTGATGCTGAAGCTGAAACTCCAATACTTTGGCCACCTCATGCAAAGAATTGACTCATTAGAAAAGACCCTGATGCTGGGAGGGATTGGGGGCAGGAGGAGAAGGGGATAACATAGGAGGAGATGGCTGGATGGCATCACCGACTCAATGGACATGAGTTTGAGTAAACTCCGGGAGTTGGGGATGGACAGGGTGGCCTGGTGTGCTGTGATTCATGGGGTCGCAAAGAGTCAGACACGACTGAGCAACTGAACTGAATTGAATTGAGCAGTCATGAAAGGAAAAGTCTCAGACCCACCTAATTTATTTCCCCTGGCACTTAATTGTCTTCATTCTACTTGGAAACTTGTCAAGATTCTTCAATAACTTTACCAAGACCTAGTCCAGTGTTGATTGTTCTATGTCAAACTTTCCTTGGAATGCTGCTGTGGTCTAAATGTTTGTGTCCCCTCAGAATCCATATGCTGAACCTTACATCCCTGTGTGATAGTGTCAGGA